GGAGCATAATACGTTCGGACTATTTGATTTTTGTCCCTTGCTTTGCCTTTCCCCTTGCCCAAGCTGCCTTTACTCGGGCACTCTGCCTTCTCTTGGCACTCTGCCTTGCCCTTCCCCTTCCCGATAGTAGCACGGGTCTGGTTTCGGAACACACGCGGCTGTTGCATCAGGTGTTCGAACTCTTCGAAAGAGAGATTCAACGTGTCAGGAATGTTCATGGTGATGGCTGCCAAAGGTAAGTAAGGATTGGGAGATGAGTAGCTTGAGCACTGAAATTGCTGCCACAGAGCACACACACTCACACACAGGGAACTGGAAAGTCAGTATCGAATTCACTTGCACTGACTGAGTCACCGGCCGGATTCATCCATCCAATCGTCCCAGCTGCCCTCTGATATGACATGTCGGCACAACAAAATCAAAATTTCAGAAGCAAGACAAGACCGCCATGATCTCATGTCATTTCTGTCATCTCAAGTCAAGCAGTCATTGGTTTCAAAAGCTACTTCCAGCTGAAAGTGCTGGTCCAGCATGCAGTGCAGCCCCAGGTCCAGGATTCTGGCCCACTGGCACAGGAAACAGAACATTTCGACGATTCGAGGATCAAAAGTTTAACATTTCCAAAGTTGGTAGGTGTGCAGCTCTTCTTGCATTTGGAGCAATGCTTCGATCATATACTCACGATGCTTAAATGGAGCGTAATAAGCTCGGTGCTGGATCCATTTGTCAATGGCCCTTTCCATGCTCATCGACGCAAATGCCATCATTAACACAGAATATGCAGCACAGGTCCTGTTTACACCACCATAGCAATGGACCAGCACACGAAGTGGCCGCCTTCTCTGACAGCACGAGTTCCAAACATCTGGGCCAGCCTTCTTCTTCTCCAATACTTCAAGAGCTTGGGCTAGCTCACCAGGGAATGACTCCTCATCCATCTGCAAACCCGAAGCCAGGGCACTCTGCCTTGCAGCAGCGGCACTCTGCCTTGCATCGAACCCACCCTTGCCATTGGAGCATTTGACATGGCCCTTGCTGGTTGCCTTGCCCAGCCTGGCGGGGGCAGAGACAGTCGGATTGGCATTCTTGAGGTAACCCTTGTTGACTGCCTTGCCCTGGCTGCTGGCGGCAGGACCATTGGGGTCGTAGCCTGGGATGTAAGCCTTGCCGATTGCCTTGCCGTGGCTGGACCAGGAGGGGCCATAGGGGCTGCAAGGGCCAGGGGCACTGCTGCCCTTTTTCTTCTTCTTGGTTGATTTGCCCTTGTTAAAACCCTTGCCCTTTTTGATGTCACTTTGGACATCGGCACTCTGCCTTCCGCGGCTGTCGTCATCGCGATGCCAGCAAGTCAGAAGCTGCCGGAAATCTGAAACAAGTCGGTGCCAAGATTTCTTGAACTCATGAGTTCTCTGTTCTGCGTCGAAATCATTGGCATGAGTTTGGTCCCAGCCACCATAGCGAAGATGTGCGGTGCCAAAAGGTCCACATGCCTCCAAATGCTTATACCAGTCGGAGGGCTCACATGACCGAGGTGGGTCATCTCTGTTCATAGCAATGACGACGTCAGGATACATCCGGAGCTCGTCAAATCGAAATGGGCAAACAAGACTGCCAACATAGAGATGGTACTGGGGATGGTTGTAAATGAGGACATCATCCATGGGCCACGTGTCGAGATCTGCCAGGCTTGGTTTCGGTGCCGCCAGCAGGCCGTTCCATGCATTGTACAACTTCATGTCCAGACGTCCGAAATTGTCGACCTGGCACTCTGCCTTTTTAATCCATTCATCAAGTTTCGCAGCTCTTCGGAGCATATTCAAACTATATACATATTCGTGAACTTCTCTGTCATAATTGATACAATGCCATTGGAGAGTTTGCAGCGCTGTATTCCAGTGATCATTGCCAAGATCTTCCAGGCTCGGATCGACATGACTGCCAAAACGATCCAGAAGCGCACCGAAATCCGTGCGACGAGGAGCCGCATCGGCATCATCGGCCATGACGGGTTCAACGCTAAATTAGTTAGTAAGTATTTAAATATTTAAAGATTTACAGCCATTCAGATTCATTAATTAATTTACATGTTGACTTTCATGGGATGGGCATTTATTATATATTAAATTAAATATTAGTTACTCACGTGCTGCAAGCTCTGACACTCTGACTCTTGGAACCAATGCTCCTAAACAATCTGTCAGGATACTTGCAATGGACAATGGAATTCAAACTTAAGATGCAGGGCAGCCTGGCCTCGTCCTCCTCAGAGGTGTCGACGACGGTGAAGGAGCAGCCAGACAAACATGATCAAGCCAACAGCAATCTGCAAAGCTCCGCATGACAAGAACGGCCTCCCTTCCTTGTTCGGAACAATCTGGCGGGACAACACGATCCACTGGCCCAGATTTTTTGCCCCAGCTGGCACGTTAGCCCATTTGTCCAGCTGTCATCTACCCCCTGCCCTGGGGTAGGTTGGCCTCAAAGCAAAACCGAACGCCTCACACCCGGCCAGCGGCGTGGTGGGTACAATCCCGAGGGGCAGGGGTTGACCCACTAGGTAAGGCACATCATGAGG